TGTCTGTCTGTGTGTGTGTGTGTGTGTGTGTGCATCTGTGAGTCTGTGTGTGTGTGTGTGCATCTGTGAGTCTGTGTCTGTGTGTCTGTCTGTGTGTGTGTGTGTGTGCATCTGTGAGTCTGTGTGTGTGTGTGCATCTGTGAGTTTGTGTGTGTGTTTGTGTGTGCATCTGTGAGTCTGTGTCTATGTGTGTCTGTGTGTGTGTGTGTGCATCTGTGAGTCTGTGTCTGTGTGTCTGTGTGTGTGTGTGTGCATCTGTGAGTCTGTGTCTGTGTCGTACCCAAGTCTGCTCTCAGATGCTGTAATAAACTCCATGACCAAGAATAACTTGGAGAGGGCAGGGTTTATTTGGCTTCCATGGGCTGCTCACGGTCCAGGGAAGCCGAGGAAGGACTGAAGACAGGGACTGATGCAGAGGCCATGGAGGAGTGCTGCTTCGTGCCTCTTCCTGGTGGCTCAGCCTGCTTTTTGCTTTTTGTTTGTTTGTTTGTTTGTTTGTTTGTTTGGGTTTTTTCTTTTGTTTTTGTTTTTGTTTTTGTTTTTCTGAAACTGTAACAGACCTGGCTGTCCTGGAACTCACTCTGTAGACCAGGCTCAACAGAGATCCACCTCCCTCTGCCTCCCCAGTGCTGGGACTAAAGGCATCTGCCACCACGGCCCAGTGCTCAGCCTGCTTTCTTTTATTTTTGGCTGTGAGCCTAGCCTAATGGCTGAGCCATCTTTCCAGCCCTGGCTGCTTTCTTATGCTACCCAGGACCACCTCTCCAGGGGTGGCACCACTGGATGCTGAAGCATCACACATCAATCACTAATCAAGTAAATGCCGCACAGGCCAAATCTGATGGGGCAAATCTCAATTGAGGGTCCCTCTTCCTGACTGTGACAACCAAGAGTAGCCATGACAGATACTGGCAGACGGGAGGGTCAGATGCTGGTGCGTGCGGCTGGACGGTTGGCGGACGGGTGAAGGTTGATGATTGCTCCCGTGGCCACTCCAGCGCAGGCCTTACAGCCCCGTTCCTTACAGCATCAAGCGGAATACCATCTCCTCCGTAACCGTGGACATAGCCGACAAGACAGTCGCGTGTGTGGACCTGAAGCCGCTGGTACGCACAGACGCCTGACGTTGGCTCGCTGGCTGACTCACTCGGGGACGCTGCTCCCACCCCAGTGCACAGGTTCTGGGGTGGACATAAGATGACAGTGTCCTGATTGCTGGGCTCACGGTGGTCATCTGAGTCCCTCAGAACCCTCTGGGTGAGGTGCTGGTTCTTACTGGGCATCTCTAGAGTGATCCCTGGCCAATTTGAGGGAACAGAACTTCCAGAGTCGTGGTTCTCAACCTTCCTAACACTGCAGCCCCTTAATACAGTTCCCCGTGTTGTGGTGACCCCCAACCATACAAAAATAACTGTAATTCTGCTACTGTTATGAATCACAATGTAAGTGTCTGTGTTTTCTGGTGGTCTTAGGTGACCTCTATGGAAGGGTTTTTTGATCCTGTATGGGTTGTGGCCCACAGGTTGAGAACCATTGCTTTCAATGCTTCCAGAGACTTGAAAACGAAATGTCTGCTTGCAAAAACTCGTCTGTTCATTGTTCCCAGATGTGTTTTTCACTGTCACCATGTGTCACGGCATGGGCATGTGGGTTCATGGGGATCCTTAGAAAGAAGACTCAGAGGAACCTTAAGAATGAATTTAGCCTATCTTGACTGCAGGGGAGTCCAGCCTCTAAGGACTTTCCCTTTGCCCAGAGCTTTTTTATTTTTCTCAATATTTATACTTTTGTAAGTTGATTTCCATATTCTCAAAACAGCCTGAAAAGAGTTCCCAAAAATACAAGGCCAAGTGCAAATTCCTCCATTTCTCAGGTACCACAGTTTTCCGAGTTTCCTGAACCAAGTTTTGCATAGGTCTTTGTATCCTTGGGAGACTGAGACAGGATTCATATAGGGTGATAAGAGAAACAAAAGGTATCGGTTAAATAAAAGATGGGTTAGGGCTGGGTGTCACTCTCTGGAGCCAGGCCAGGTACAGCTCAGTAGGGGTGCAGCCACAATTCACAAGGGACAAGAGTGGGAAAACCGATGGATACAGTGGGTGCAGAAAACGTGGCCCATCCATTCAACTGAATATGACTCAGCCAGGAAAAGGAATACAGTTCTTACATACAGTTGCCATGTGGAGGACTGTGTGCTTTTCAGGGGAGGGGATGGAGAGTTAGGTGTTTTCTAGGGACAGAGCTTGGATTTGGGAAGATGAGATGTGACACTGAGAGCCTCTCTGTCGGGATCAGACTCGGCAGGGCTGACAGTGGTTCTTCATGAAGTGTGTCTGTTCCTTGCAGTCCACGCTCATCTCCATCGGCTGTGACAAGACAAAGAAGATTCTCGTGCAGAAGTGAGTGTGACATCCCCGGGGGCAGGGGACACAGGGTGGGACCGGCAACATCGCTAGAGTGAGGGGACATTATTCTAGCTGCTTTTGTATATGTTCAGCAGTTCTGTGACTGGGAACTGAGGGCCCCGAGAGAGGGCTCAGCCTTTAGAACAACAGCTGCTCTTCCAGAGGACCAGAGTTCGGTTCCCAGCACCATGTGGTGGCTCACAACTGTCTGTAACTCCAGGTCTAGGGGATGATTTAGGATGATTTCTGTGGGCATTGCACACACGTGTGCACAGACAGACATGCAGGCAAAACACTCACACACGTAAAATAAACAGACATTCAAACACTGAAATATTAAACTTAAATTACATGTTACTAAATGTTAACTTCAAATATTAAAATAAAAATTCTGCACATAATTAGCAGTTCTATTACAAATCAAACACTGAAAAACCCCAAATTCCTGGAAGCAGCCCATCCTGAGCCAGGATATGACTGGTCAGCCATGCATGGAGGTGGCGATGCCATGCTCTGGGGCCATCCTGTGTGTGACTTGAATTTGTTAGTACCGCAATGCCTAGACCTACTTACAATGATTTGCTCTTTCTTGTGTTAAAGACTATAAAGTGTGTGAGTGTGTATGTGTGAGTAAGTTAGTGTGTGATAGTGTATGTGAGTGTGTGTGTTAATGTTTGAGTGTGTGAGTGAGTTAGTGTATGTGTGAGTCTGTGTATGTGTGTGTATGTGTGTGTGTATGAGTGTGTGTGTGTGTATGAGTATGTGTGAGTGTGTGTGACTCTGAATGTGTGAGTGTGTGTGTGAGTGTGAAAGTGCAAGTTCTCTGAGTCCAGAAGCACCAGCTCCCCCGGAGCTGGCATTACACACAGTTGTGAGCCCCTCCCCCATGTGAGCCATCTCTGCAGCCACGGATTTTAATTTACAAGGAAGGATTTGGAACCCTCCCTAGCACCCCTGCAGTCCCCCACCCTGCACAGCTGGGGCTGGCACCCCATCCCTCCCAGTGTTGCCGCCCCCTTCAGTTACCGTGTCCCGTGTCCGCTGCCGCCGCCGCTCCATCCCTGGTCGCCCTGTCCCTCTTCAGGTCTGCCCACTTCTCTCCATTACAGCAAAATCTCCGCCTGCTCCATGGGAATCCTCAGCCCGGTGGAGCTGCAGAGAAACTATACTTACACCATTGAGAAGTAAGTGGGGTGTTGCCCACCGCCAGCCCCCCACACTGGGACAGAGACCCCAGGGAACCAGGCGGAGTGATTTAAAACTGGTGCCTGGCCCAGGAGAACCATGCAGCCCCAGGAGCTAGTGCGATGGATGCGGTGGTGTGCGGGAAGCTGTCCCTTAGTGCCGGGTACTGAAGCCTGTGTGGAGGCCTCTCCTTTGATGTGGCACTTTGAGTCAGAGCCAGGCCTCAGCACTGGCCCTAAGCTGATTAGGAGGTTTGCATTGCTATAAGACATCATGGCCAAAAGCAACCTCTGTTGGTTAAGCGGTGACAATGCCAACGGAGGGGAGGGGAGTGCTGGTTGGTGGAAAATCACAGCCATGGTTACCTTTCTAGAGCTTTATTGGGAGGGGG